TATATTGAAAGAACACGTAGCACCAATATCCTACATAGAAGGAATATTTATAAAGAAATGAGCAGAAGATAATTTTTCTCTGACTTGAGTCTTCATCCAACACACAGCCCTAAAGGGAACATAACTAGATCGAACTGTACAGGAAATGACATAGCAAACAAACCTAAAAAAATCCACAATCTGGCATCAAGGGGTGTGGTGAAAGATAAAATGCATCTGCATTTTTAGGTTCAAATAATTATGACATTGTGATTCTAGTAGAATACATTGATTTGCAAACAATATGTAATGTTAGTCTGACAGAGGTGAGTGAGAATCGACTGGATACAAGTAGTATTACAAGCACAATATTGTACTGGAACCATCACGATAAAATAAGATGCTAAGTGAAAGCAGATGGAGTCTCACTGCCTGCGAATATTACAGGCACCAAGTGGAGTTTTGATGCTTTCCCGCAGGGAACAGAAAGGAGAAAACAGCAGCAGTTTGGTCATTCTGTGGAATATTAGCCCACATTCCCCACATCTCAATTGGCCATGTATAGGGAAGAGATTGGTTGCTCATGTTATAAGACAGGGAATTATGCAAGCCACAATTGATATACAAATGGAAGGAAATGCATTAAAAATTAAGACCTTGTCCCTCACTTCATCTACTACCATATGCAATTATTTTTGTACAATTCAACTAAAATACAAACACTCAATTTTTTTTAACATATACGAAGTTGCATTTCCCTCAAAAATAAAAATGATTTTAATATACAGCTTTCATCAAAATGAAGAGCAACTTTCAAAAAGGAAAACGACTTGTTTCTGTCGACTAAATTTTTTTTTGTAGCTATTGCATTCACTGCTGGTTGCTTTGAAGTAATCCTGAGGGAAATAGGATGGTTAGACGAGATAGATGAATTGTCTGTTCCTGTCTGATTTGTTTTTATTATTTCAATTGTTGCTACATTTAAATTAATTGCACTTGTGCACCCTTACTGCTGCTTGCAAATTCAGTGATCCACCCTCCTCCCCTTCCCCCTCCACCCTCAGTTGGGTTCCCAATCCCGACTGTGGGAAGTGTTTTGAGATGCCCTCTCAACATGAAAGATGCAGTATAAATGTAAATGGTTGTTCTGTGGCTGTTACCCACTCACTGTATGATCAGCCTGGAAGTTCGCTTGATTTATTGGGTTCACACCAGACCTCACAATAGGTTAGCATTTTGTGTGTAACAAACTACTGTGTTTCTAGTCTTTCCTAAGTACCTTTGCCTTTCACTGGAAGTGTGAAGTATATGCTGATTAATCTTAAGTTTCAGCACTTCCAGGTTTACAACGATGAACCTATATCACCTCTAGTTCCCATTTTTAAAAGAAAATCTTTTTTTTAAAAAAGCAAAGTCTTGTTATAAACGGATTACAGATTTTTGAAATTGGTAATACGGATCTCTAACGTACTAATTAACATAAGCTTTAAACTGTAATTAGCACCGTGAGTAGATTTTGCAAAATGTCATAGTATAATTAAAATTTTAAACAAGGTGTACAATACAACATTTTCTTACAGAATATAACTTGACAGATATTCTAAAAAGTAACATTCCAAATTAAGTACTGTGTTATAATGATACGGTCACCATATCTCAGCTCAGCAGAACAAGAGTTACAATTCTTCTATTTTGCAAACCTGACATTTTGCATTAAGATTATATTAATTCATACACAGGTTTTTTCAAACTTGTTTAAATAAGATCTTCAGAACAAAAATGAGAAGTACAAAATCAGTTAGCATCTCTTTACTAACCAAGCAAATCATGCCAGTCTGCCGAGGGCAGATTCACATTCAAACTAATCTTACATGGTGAAATGCATTTTATTAGTGCATTATCTATACAGGGCATTAATCCATCATCTATGTTCAATTTAATGAACAAAGTGACATTGTTGTATGTATATCAGTGATCTGCAACATTACTTCCAATTTTTGCAGATAAATCCAGATGAAAACTGCAATAAGAGGTAATAAAGATTATTTTTTTTATTTGTTTTATGCATTAAATTCTACTTTTCAAATTTGTTTTTGACAACAGAATTGTCAGGATACATTAAAGAAAAACATAATCTGTAGATAATATCCTATATCTTGATAACCGTTAATGTGTCCTTAGTATTTCATGATGGCAATATATAATTAAATTCCACATCACAGGTTTATTTTTAACTATAAAATAAGGATTCTATGAAGTATTCCTTAGTTTGAAATCAGGGTGCTCCAAACATATGCCATTCTAGGTACATTTGCCCAGCAAGCTTCTTCTGGTTGATATCAACCCATAACACATGCAAATCTTAGAACCAGTATCAAACCACTGTAATCTAAAGATGACTGGTCTCCATACCAATTAATCCCTCCAATCTACCAGATGACTTATCAAAGGTGTAAAATCTAAATCTGGTCTTGTAAAAAAAATCCAATTGAAAATAATCTTGCAGATTCAAAACAGTAAATTTGCTTTCAAAATACAACCATAAATATTATTATAATGAACATTTGCAAATGATTATTGCATAATTGCAGATGCAAAATCAAGCTTGGTGAATATCCAAAACATATTTCCACATAAGGAAACACTTTGAGTATAACTGTAGGTAAGACATTTCTGGAGCAGGAAAAATCATGAGCACTTGTGCCCCATTTTGCATCTATAGATGTGTAAAGAATCAATGTCCACCTGATGGGAAGTTAGCAGAGTTCCCACGTTTTGATGGGGACACGTTGATGGTTTCTGGAGAGGAACCTGCAATTCAAAGTGCAAGAGGAATGAGCTACAAGTGACCATTCCACAAGCTAGGGCTCTTCAGACTTGAAAGAAGACATCTCAAACCTGTTTATATTGATAATATTTATATTTATATTTATAGATTTTAAATGGGACCCAGAAAGTGAACCCAAGACACTACTTTTAGACACATAAGATAACTGAGGGTGATGAGAATCCAGTGCTCTCACTGCTGGAAGTTGTGCTTGAAGTAAAAAGCATCTGTGTTTAAAATGAAACTTGATAGTAACATGAGGGAGAAGGGAATAGAGTGGTACAGAGCGGGTTATGTGGAGCATAAACACTAGCGTGGACTAGTTGGGCTAAATGGACTATGTGATTCTATGCAATTTTAAAAAAATATTTGAAGAGCTAACTTAACGCAATGAATTTTCTGACAAGCCTAAAGAATATGAAGTAATGTAGTTGCCTTCTGACCAGGGGTTGATGGGTTGGAATCCAAGAGCTGGCCTGATTTGAAAAATATTGTCGTGTCTGAATGCATGAATGCATTCCTTCTTGATCAGTAATGGAGTGGACCTGATGGCATCATCGAGAGCTTCATGGCCCTGATCATCAAAGCTGGAGTAAGATCAATACCCAGGACTGGTCTGTAAAGGCATAAAAATAAACAGACTTCATTTTTCTCTCATATTATTACCTGGTGTTTCACTTGGAAGGCATATTGTCACAGTGGTTAGAGATGTAATTATGTTACAAAGGTCAATGGTGTCAGATCCTGGAGACTGCTAGAAAATTGCTCCACAAATTTCAATTTAGTTTACGGATAGCATTTCTAAGACATGTATTATCTACATTCGCAATGTTCCACAGACCTTCCTATGTGTTGTACTTTTTTTGCTCCCATCAGCGCTTTGGGACGTCCTCTTGATGTGAAAAACGCTATAAAAATGTAATTTTTTATGCTTTGTATCCTGAGCTGCTGTTGCCGTATACCTCCCAGACATTGTCATCGGGTGCAATTTTCATATTGTTTTTACCGTCAAGTGATGGTACAGGTGACGGATGCTTAGCTCCTGCCTGTTACTGCTGCCTGTCTAACTCTGAGAGAATAACCTCCGACCCCCATCCTTGCTTGATCCTGTGGATATTTGCACAATGCATACTGAACTTCTGTGATAGGTTGCTTATTTGAGGAAACTTACTTACCATTGTACATTCTGTCAGCGCCATTTGTTCAGCTGTCTCTCGAGTTGAAAACTCTCAAAGGCATAATTTCCTTCTGGCATTCAGGAATAAATTGTGCACGTCCTTCCTTCTTAAACAGAAGCACACACATAATGCAAACATGGGGTAATAGTTTCTACAGCTAGGAGTGCAGCAACTGATGAAATAATAATAATAATAATGTCATATTTCTCCTTCTGCCACAGAAACATTACATCTGTATTGATAGTCTTGAAATGAAAATGGGAAGGGGGAATACAACAGCAACATCATATCTAGAGGCGTTAGTCAGTTACTCAAAAGATTTATCCGATCAAGTAAAAATAACATGGACAATTTCAAGGTATTTGTAATCATCATGAAAATCTAGAGACTGACTTTTGTAACTTTCATAAACCTACTACCTGCTCCTCTCAGATTCCTTTCACGGTTTGATTCAAGTCACATTGTGCAAGTTTATCCTGTGAAACCTTTTGCGACATCTCAATGATATGATAAGGTGCTATATCAATTTACTTTTCTGTTGTCCATGTGCTGTACTGCATATCCCTAATTGCCCATACAAAAAAAGAAGATGTACTTGATTACATACAGATTACAATGAAAACACAAATGAACTGAGTTTTCAGCACAGTGGTTTTTCTTTCCCACGTGGGAAAAAGGGCCAAGAGTGAAAGAGTTAAACATCACCCTTCGATAACATATATGGTAGGAAGTAGACAAGTCTCGGGCATAATTAGAATATGAATTGAAAACTTCCATCAACAATAGAACATGTCTGGCCCAATGCTGAGAACAAAAGTAGCAGCAACGTAAGAGAAAGGGGTCAGGCAGAAAGAATGGGAACATTCAGGATGACTACAAGATGAAGATTTGTTCTGATAGACTGAGATAATTTGTTTTCACAGCACTGAAATTCACTTGTAATTTTAAAAAGAACTCTGAATTGAGAAGAAAGCAGGTGTTATATGTGAAGTAGTGTATTACAAGTGACAACGATCCACGATAATATGGATTTTATTTCAGACATTAAAGGCATTGTGCTGATATACATTCTCTTATTTTCTTTCATATACTATAAGTAACTCTGTTACATATATGCAAATTCATTTACATCCCACTTCATTTTACTATTTGGGAATACGGCTGGTTCACTCGCAGTAAATTTTTATCATTTAATGTGGTCATTACCTAACACTTAAAGTGGTTAACTAAACTTTAATAGTTCATTACTCTGATAATTTAATGGCATATCTCAATTAAGTGTTGAGGTGTGCACCCATAATTTTTTTTATATAAAAATGTTTAAATACAAAGCAGTTTAAGACACAATTGTTTAAATCTTGATTTCCGTGATACAACCATGATACAATGCTATTTCGCAACACCTGCAAATACTATGCAAGCTCTCATATTCAGACAACATATTTTGTACGTGATGCAAGAAATCATATAATTGTGTAACTTAACAGATGTCAGTCTTTGTTATAACCAGCGGGCAAATATTTTTCCTGAAAGATATGCATCTAAAGTACATAAAAGTGCAATTAGAAAATATTTCCCCTCCCAAAAATACTTCATTTTGGGAAAAAAATGAATAAAGCGCCCCCCTCCTGCCCCCCCACCCTCCCACTGAAAATAAAACAGGAGGCTTCTTTTCAACAATTAATATACCAGGTTCAGCCTTTGGTATTTTTCTTCAAAAAAGAGTTACTTTAAGTTTACTTGAGAACAGCTGACTGCCATAAAACAGAAAAAAATCTAAGGAACACCAAATTGGGTGAATTTTATTGTAATACTGTATAAAACGTTCCTCGATTCATCACTATCCTCGACTATATCGTTTAGTAATACTATATAAAAAACTTTTTTATATACGTGTCAGCAGAGGCAGTTAATTTCAACACAGTCCACAAATGATCCCCCATGATTCCTGGGTGGGTCAGTCCCTTTAGATCTTCTTTATTCCAGCTCTTACAATTCACTGCACACTCTTAGGCCGTTTTGATGCCTTAGGTCTTTTTTAAAAAAAAAGCAATCTTCAAATCTTCTTTGGCACCGTGAGATCATGCAAATGGCATATTTCCATTGTGACGGGACCGTGACCTCTCCAAGTTAACGCGTCTGTTTTCTGAGAGAAAGAGAAACAAAATAGGTGAGTGAGTTAGGCTGCAATTCTTTCATAAAGTCTACAATACGCAAAACAAAAGTTGAAACTGAAATTGGATATCTCAATACAAATACCAACGTGTACATTTTGCTTCCTAAACACCGGTCAAGGACTTTGAAATCTTTAAGAAATTGCTTTTCAGATCATGTGAGCAAGGTGATAAAAGCATAAGAAAGAGGCACAGACATACAGTATTCCCTTGGACATTTATACAGCAGAAATTCTGAGTAAAATTGTCCACACATTCAGAATCTATCTAGGTGAATGTGAAGTGCACTTCGGATACCTTTGGGCATTGAATCACAGAGTGGTGAAAATGCACAGTGCCTGTTAAAAGCAAAGGCAGCTGAGCAACAGAGAATGAAATGGTAAAAATGCAAGGTAAGGTTTACTGGCTCTCTTTCATGTAGAATGCACAACATTTCACCATGTCGTCAGTAACCCATTAACATTAACTATTTCATTGCAAGTTATATTGGGTATTGAATATTGTACAGTGATTTATGCTTAGGGAGTTGATGTCAACATTTCTCCAGGCGACAAAAATAATCGATATTGTGTTGTATTGCCTGGAGTCAAGGAGTGAAAGCATCATTGTAACAAATACATCATTTTTGTAAGCAAAGACTAAATATTTTAGAACTAATTCACCAAGATTATGGTAGTTCTATTATACCCCACTGAATTATAGTGATACAACTGTAAACGGATATAACAGCAGCTATAAAAATAAAAAAATGCCAGAAATCTAAAATGATAAAGCAGGAAAGACTGGAAACTCACAGCAGGTCAATCAGCATCTGAAAAATAAAGATTGTTTAACGCTTCAAGAGCGAACCCTTCATCAGTTTTCTTTCAGATGCAGATTAACCTACTATGAATTTCCAGCATTCTCCTTTTTTATTTATGATATAGACACTTCTCAATGGAATGCTCTGATATACGACCTCTGATATGAAGTGCATTATTTAGGGCTTTGAGTTGTAATAAAAAAAATGAAACACCCTCTCAAAAAAATTCCACTTGCTATGCTCTTTGTATGTCAGTGGCATAGTGAAACCTGACCCCAGGTCAACAAATACCATGCACAAATCAGGAGTCCTGATGTCCTTAGGTATTTCTCCCCAAAGGAACAGAGAGAGCACAGCTGAGTGAAAGGGGCCATTTGTTTTTAACTTTGCTCCTCAATGAGTTCATGCACTAAAGAAAAATAAACGGCTGCTGAAAATAGCCAAGTGAATTTTAGGATTCTAAATTGCTAAACAAAAAATTATTAAATTCAAAACGAGACCAAAAAATTAAATAAAAGGGACTTGGGGAAAAAATAAACTGGTTGCATTCACCCATCTTCAACTAGAGTATGTCAGCCAGGTTCAGTGGTTAGCGTGCATCCCACCTATACATGGAAATTCTGGAGATAGATTGTGGGAATGAAATAAATACTCTCTCTGGAGGGACGCAATTTCTTTCAGGTGAGTTGGGGAGAAATTTAAGATGAAAAAGAGAGAAAAAAACTAAACTATATAATATATTCCATGATAGATGTACCTGCTTACAGACAATGTTAGAAACAATATTTAACGGCTTTACTGAAATTCGTTAACATTTAAGTGGTTAAGATAATTTTGTAAAATGTTTATGCAATCAATAGAACTTGCTTTGTCATCTTTTTAACAAAGGAAAGAAAAAAATCACTTGGGGTGAAACTGATGTTTAACCAAATATATAAATGAGAACCAGTATTGATATAGAAGTCTGCAAAAGAAATGAGTGGGGAACTGTGGAAGGCACAAACAGGCAGAATAATGAGAAAGTTATAAAAGTCTTCTTTGCGAGTTAATTGGTACTCTCACAATTTTACCAATCAGTAAAATGTTTACACAGCATTTTATTATTATTATTATTTTATTATTATTATTATTATTAATATTATGTAACCAAAGTTTAAAAANTGAATTATGTACATGATGAAAGTGCGATTAATCTTCATCATATGTGTGATAATAACAATTTAGCACACAGCCTGTGCACCCACGCATGTTGAATAAGATCTGAAAAAGGACAAATCAAGTAAAAACAACAAAGTGTCTGACATTCACTCTTGGTTTACAGTGAAAGAGAGACTTGCAAAAATCCTGCAGAGTAAAACACACTTCATGCTAAGAACTGATCAAACACAAGTGTGGGATTGTAATGGTGCAGGTGATTCTGAAACCTCAAAGCTGAAATACACATTTTCATTTTTCTGCAAAAAATATTCTAAATGCATTTAACCCCGAAATAAAGAATCTCCAAAGAAGATGGAGCAAGGTTAGTCCAGTTTCCTATATCATTTTTTTAAAATTGGTGCTTTGTGGATAATAATATAATTCTTGCATGTGATATAGCGCTTTTCACATCTTCTAGACGTCTCAAAGCGCTTCACAGAATAGACTGTAAAGTGAATTGACTATATTTGTGGGCGAAACACGGCAGCCAATTGCGCACAGCAGTGTCCCACAAACAGTCGTGGATTGAAGTGACCAATTTTTTTTTTGTCAATGTGGATCATTCTGAAGACTGATCACTGTTAAAATATAGTGTTTTTAATTTCAGTGAATTAAATTTTATTGTGGTTCAATTAGTTTGGTGTTGAGAGATACCCTTTTGAAGATATCTTTCTCCCTTGCTGCTTGGGTGTCCCTGGGCCAGCTGCTCTGAAATGAATTGCTGGGAGTTGAAGGAAAGCAGGCTGGGACCAATTCCCTATTTCTCTCTCTCAGTGGGCAAGCACCTGGCCTCCAGTGAGCGGGGTGAAGATCAGGACAGTGTGTATGGAGTTATGCAACAAATTCATTGTGCACGTAACACATCAGAGCTGCAACACACTGTGATACATATTAATCCTCAACTTCAACTGCAATTAATTTTCCTATCATATCCACAAACGAGACAACCCAAGTCAGAAAATATTTCCTAATTCACTCTGGTATTCAGATTTTTTCAGGATATTATTTGGAGCAATTTTCATCTTTTTCCTATCCCCAAAAATCTTACCTCTTTACTCTGCAGAACCAGGAAACAATTTATTTCCCTTTATTGAGGCAGATTTCACTTCATTAACTGGTGGTTCACATAAGAATGAAGATGTTATTTCTCAAGGAACATCTTAGTTTGCTGTTCTTTTTCCATTTGAAAATTATTGAGACAGCTGGCGATTTCCATTAAAAACAGTGATGTATACTGGTTAAGATTTAAGTTCTTAAAACAAAATTTAGAGTACATTGGCTATTCATGTTCTATAACAGTTGTTTCTGCTGAATAGCACTGTTCTCTAAATTTGTCTCATGTCGTGACAGTGAGAACTGGAAGGATGAAGGAAGATATGTTGGATCATTGGGCTAAAGGCATTAGAAACATTAGAAGTAGGAGAGGATGATCTAAAAACAAAATCACAGGGAGGACTAGAGACAGAATCATAGAGAGGACAGAGATTTGAGGCAGAACAATAGGGAAAATCAGAAAGGATCAAAGGTAAATAAAAACCATGATGAGGAAATAATGAGTGGTACTATTTTTTTCTGTTGAACATTTCCTACAAATCTTGATACAAAGCTGCCATTCTTAACCCTGAGATAGCACCATCACACGATACATTATTGATCCACCATTATTTTTTCTGGGAAATAAAGTTTGTTTCAGTTATGATCATTCTTAAAAAACCAAAGCTGCCAATGAGAATCGTGCCACAACATATCTGAAATAATCTATCAATAGACATTTCTTCCCATCAAATAAATATTGTGTAAATCGAGTTTTTTTTCATTTGTTTTTTGAAAGCTTTTTATCTTCTTGTTCCTATGACACCAACCATCTTCCCCCAGGCAGGATAGATGGATAGTGTGGAATATGGATTTTTCAATAACCAATATCAATGCCACTGGAACTGGTCAAAATCATTCAAGCAGAACAGGCCAGCCAATGCCATTTTCTTTATTCATCCAAATTCTCAGTCTAACGATATAGATTCCAAACAGAGGACACTCACAATTTGAAAAAAGATTGCCCCAATGTGGCTCCAGCATTATCATGTGCACGGACTTGCTTAATTCAACACACCTGTTGGTTTAAACCATAATCCATAACTTTGCAGTATTTCATTGTTAAAAACATTAATTGTCATAACCACCATGCATTTTTGACCAAAATACTAGAGACATATCATAAATGGTAAAGCTGCCATTCTTAACTCTGAGACCGGATTTGAACCATACTGAAACTAGGTCATATAAAAACCATAAAATCCCTTGTGCATTGTTTCACTGTCTTAGAATATTTTCTAGATGTCCAGAATATTTCTTTGTTCAGCCTGGACGAAGGATTAAAAGTGGGACACAAATACAGACCTAGACAAATAACTCACAAAATTATAGGATGGAGAGGAAGGTGCAAGAACTGTTTGATAAGATTTTCCACTGAGAGCTGTGAACTTGACTTTCTGAGTGTAAAGATGCTCTCTTATTCATGGAGACAAATGTAAATTTGGAAACGTCCAGTGACTAAAAGCAATGACTGTAGGTCTAAGTGTTTTTAAACATTATTTTGATAAAATGTCTGTTGAATTCATTCTTCCACCATCTGTACAGAAAGTTAGGAAAAGCAATAGCTAGAAAATCTTGATTGCAGAGTCTTGCTTCTCTCTACTGAAAAGTCAATTTCTCTTCCAGCAGAGGAATCTCTGATTTCAAAGTGGAGAGTGGAGCAGCCAAATCTATCTGGTCTCAGACTGACAACTTCACTGTTGAAATGGATGGGTTGTGAGCATAGCGTTTGGACGAATGGATGATCAACATTTTCAAGGTCAAAAGGAAGCTCTTTGTGTGATGTATTTATATTAAATAATTCTATTGCTATCCTGTATGAGTAAAATTGAATATTTTTCACAAAATGTAGATTAAATAAGAAAGTGTCCAATAACCATG